GAGATCCGTTAAGTCAATTCGATGTTATCACTAATTCCCCCCGGCTCATTCGGATTCCGCCAGCCGGCCTTTTCGGACCTCCTTTGCCTGCACCTTTGCCAGCCTGACGAGCAGCAATTGCCCAAAATTCACTTGCTCAAGGCAAGTGGTGGACACTTTACATGCAGTTCTTGGCAAGCCCCACACACATCAGAGCAACTGCCAGGACAGCTGCAGCAAACTCGGAACCAGGAATTATGACAGTCCAGCCTGCATGATGGCTCCGTTCACTGGGCTCAAGGGCTCAAGAGCACAGAACCTACATGAACCAGATGGCAAAGGCTCGGGTCAATGCGAACTTCAAACATTCTCGCAAATAACTCCGGAAGAGCCCTGAGTCCATCTTTTGAGGGAACTCTGGTGCAAGCCCGACCTTGCATTCACTTTTGCGGACAAGGCATAAATTGAAGTGAATTCTTATACCAATCAGCTCTACCATAATCTCCAAATGTGGCAAGTTGACTTTCACTCGCGGGAAGTACTGATAAGAACACAAGAGATCTGGAGGGGATTAGGACCACCTCTCTGGCTTGGACTGGTACCCTAGTGATTGCTGCTGCTGCTGCTGCTGCCGCTGCTACTGCTGCTGCTGCTGCAGCGGCACGAGACACATCGAAGTGTATGTCTGCAACCTCATGCAGGAACCCATGTGTGGCATGCTCGAACGGCCGCCTTTTTGCCAGAGCTTCTCGGTCACACAGGGCTTAAGATCTGCATATGTCTGCAACGGGCACTCTTCGCAACCGTTCCTGCGCAGCCTCTGCCATGAAGTCCTGATATGATGCTTTGGTCCGAGGTCACTCGCCGGCAAGATTGCAAAAGTCTTCAAATGAAGACTGTCAGGTGCAGCCGTCAACCGAAGTTGGCAAAAGTTCGCATTCAGGAGCTCTGCCTGCAATTGTGCCAGTCCCGCCGATGTTGCTTTTGTGCAAAGAACTCTGTGCATCTGGGAATTGGCTGGCAACGAGTAAGGGCTTGCAATGCCCGCCAAACTTGATCGGGAATCGACACGCAATGTACAGGTAGCACCTCTGCGAGACACTCGGGCAGTGACGTAGTTTTACGAGCTGCGCCGGCGTCCTGCTTTGAAAAATATTGTTTGCTGTGAGTGACTAGCTGAAACAACATGCTCCGGAACGACTGCACCACGTCACCAAGTAAGGGAAGCTTAGCAGATTCAGACGCTAGTCAGATGGGCGCCTTGCGGCGGCCTTGCCACCCTACGTGAACGGGCGAGAGCCTGCGTTCCACTTCGCGGAAGGCATGACGCAAGCAACCGAGGCCAATCGATGGAAGCTGAAATCTCTTTCTCGTTGCATCAACAACAGCGGATTCGGCTGACCTAGTCGAGCTGAACATGCGCACATGCAGCGTCGCATCTAGCAGTCTTACACTACACCAGTGTTTTCATGTGTTTGATTCCAGGCTGGCCTTCATGTGCTGGACAAATTTCGCCCCGGCTCAAAACCGCCCTTGCTTGGACTGCAGAAGCAGACAATCCGGGCACAGGTTCCGAAAACAAGATAGGCTTTTGCGGGCGCATCCAAGCTGGTCGGAGCACGGTATTTCTTCACAACAGGTGCAACGTAAGCTTGGGTAGCTTTACGTGAGATGCGGCACGGCCAAAGGAATCTTGTGCAAACCTCATGGGCGCAACAACAAGAAGAAAGTAAGCTCGTGCAACGGTCTGTAGAACCCATCGCAATCTACATCGCGGATGTGCATCTTTTGAGCGCCCTGAACAAGCCCCCTCCCTTGCTGGCTCGAGCATTCTATGAGGCCATTGGCTACCTGAGGCTGCCATCCTCCTCGGCCATGCTCAAAAAGAACGAGCTGTCTCTAGGGGAAAATTCTGTAGACTCCTAGACTTCGGCTAAACTCTCAGCCACCCAGGTCGGTATCCTGGCTGGCACTGCGCGCAGATAGGCATGTGGCTGGCGGATGATTCGGGGCTCTCTTAGCTTGAAGCGCTTGGCATTCGGGAGGGAGGTCTGCAAGTTCGGTCTGCTGCATGCTGTACTCCGTAATATAGCCAGGCAGACCGCATCGGATTCTTTTCTCTCATCACCTGGTGTACAAGCGCTGCTGAATCTGCAAGTAAGCATGTGACCCATAGTTGCCAGGTAAAATCAGGTAAATGCGACTTTGATTGAAGTGGGCGGCAGGCATAGGCTCCCGAATGTGATCATGAAGTCTTAAGTGCCAGCGGCGGGCACGGAGATCGACGTGCTTACACGTGCTCCATGCAGGCCTCCGACCGGCTGGTGACACCGCTGAGGACCAGCAGTGATTTCATACCCCCACCTGAAGAAGCGGTGGGTTGCACAACTGACAGGCGGTACAAGTAATTCAGCTATCTGGCGGATCCCGAATGTACAGAGCTAGAGTCATGGAGGTGCCCAAGCGGAGTTTACTTAGAAGTCGAGAAAGGCCCGACTTCGGTCACGTCCCTCGATTGTCAAATCTGATACAGGCAGATATCTATGGTGTTAGCAACAGGCACTAGTCGACCCTGATGCGCTTCGTTCCAAGTGTGCTACAAGGAAGAGGCACTTAATTACCTTGACCCAACTAAGCTGCGAGTGTGATACTGTGGTTTCTACTCTAATCCTCTTTGGCTACAGCTCATACTGGTAGCTGGTAACCATTTGCAAGAGAAGAGGCTGTTTGCGAGCTCGATGTCGGTATCGAGCGTACTGCCAATCTCAGCTTGGCGCACGGGCTAGTGCATCTGTAGCCGCCAAGAAGTCGCAAGACTGTCACACCGTGTACATCAATCGGCCATTTTTCGTGCAGAGCCAGCTTGGCGAAGATGGTTGCGCAGCATAAGCGTGCGAAGCCGGGTCTTTTGGGTTGGATTGGATTGCAGTGGAAAGCTTCAGACTTTCAAGTCTGCGTGCAGCAGTTTTGGACACCGTGCGCCGAAGCGTCTTCTTTTGCAGGCAAGGAGCCACAACAGCTTTGGAGAAGTTGACGCCAAGGCCTCCTTCGTCCGAGGACCTTCTGAGCCTAAGTCAGAGAGTCCAGTGGAAGTCGAGCCACAAGGTGCAACTCAAGATCGGCAGGTTGGAACCATCTTGTCGGGATGGCTGAATAATTTGAGGCATGCTGTTGAAGCCAGCAACAGCCGCTCTGCGCAGGTTTCTGCGTGCAAGCGTGCGATATGGGAGGAGGGCTTCGAGGTACCAAACTCTGAGACGACGGCTGCTCGAGCAACATCAACGAAGGCTTCCCGACCTTAGAGGCTGCATCCACAGGAGTTTGCAATACTGCTCGGAAAAGTTGGAAGCAGGGATGAGTTCAATCTACAAGCACCAAGAGCGCAAGACAGCTGAGCATGTGACATCGACGACCTGTCACGCGTGCGTGCAGTCTCTAGATCGGAAAGCTGCAACGACAAGCTGTAGTAACTACTTCGGCCACTCGGAAGAAGCTCTGTCCATGAGACTGCGGTGTGCAGACACAGGGTCACTCGGGATTAAACTCTCGATGAGAAGTGATCGCCCCTCATTTGTATGCTTTGACTGGCTTTGTACTCGAAGACCTCCAAATTGCACAAAGTTCGTTCTCCAAATTTGTGTTCACAACCTGCCTGTCACAACAAGAACCCAGATACAGTGCTTGAGCCGCAAGTATAACGGGCCTCTTCAATTCCAATGCATTGTTGAATCGCAGTTGCCATAGCTCCATTTCCAAACTCGGCGCATGTGTGCTGTCAAGCCAAGGCCATGTCGATTGCCACCAAAGAGAGAAAGCAAAGGATCCGATGTCCAGACTTGTCGACGCTGCACATGAAACAAAATCCATGCAGCAGCTTGGGTCCATGCAGCGCGGATCTTCCTGCTGTTGAAGCCCTGACCTCGAGACAAGGTGAAAGAGCGCTGCCACCAGATCAAGTGGCCAAAGCAAGCGGAAGCCTACCGACCCTCGACTACTTAGTAGACGCGAACAAGAGTGGAACGTCCACTCAACATGACTCAAAGGCCCTGGCTCTGACAGAAGGAATCGGGCGAGACACCCAAGATTCCACTTCGGTCCATGGAGCCTGGGCAGACGGTAGCCGTCTGCTGTCTACACACCACTGACTCGACCTTCTCGTACAGTAGAGGTGAGGGTCACTTGCCATGCGAACGATTCGATAAAACCTGATTGAACCACGCATCTTAGCAGCTACTTCTGGGAACTGTCCTGAGCATCACAGGTGATGCCTCAGTGTCTTCGCGAATGTTGCTGAGACACCGCACATCTCTCCGACATTTTTTTGGCTCGGCTGAGGGTAGCACAGGATATGACGGGCAACTCCATTCCATTTTCCTGTGACTGGACGCCGCGAACTTCGTGCTTGTCGCATGTGCTAGCACTGCTAGCACAAACAAGGCTCTTTGCGAATGTGGTCAGGGTTAACATGGGTTAACCCAGGCTTTATCCTAAGATTCGCACAGCCTTTGATTCGCACAGACGACAACTGCAGGCCCGAACACCTCTCGGAAGACCCTCCCCCCCATGCCGGGCCTGAGACCATTTGACATACTGCGCGGCTACCTGTGGCTGGGACACCCAAGAGAAGTAAGCGTGAACCACGGGGCTGCGAATTCGCTCTGTACCTGTAACGATGCACTACAGGCAAATAAGATTACTTCAGATAACCACAACACAGGCAGCAGCTTCGTCGCTGGAGCATGCCGGGGCACGTAAGAACGCACCTACTCTTTCCATCTATTTCCAAGTGCAGAGAATTCCCAAAGCGCGGCACTGCAAGACGTGTTGACCGAAGGACCGACGGACGTTTTTTGGAGCAGCCTGACTTGTTGGATGCCAGCACACAAGACGACTGCACGTGTATGCAACGGCCGACGGAGGTTTGAATATCATACTCGCCGGCAAGTTCGAAGCCACATCACGAACTTGATCCTACGGAGAACAAGGGAGAGGACTGTAAGACATATTTTCAGAAAAGGCGCTGCAGCTTTCAAAGCCTCAGGCTCAGGCTCGGGTGCCAGGCCCCATGCCAGAAGCAAACTCCCACTCTATCATGTGACTGCCTCTTGAGTTTAGTAAAGGATCGGCGACGGGAATGCTGGGCAGGGCAGGACGATGCCAAGAAGCTGTGAAGTGTTGGTCCCATCCCACCACCACCGCATCCACTTCGGGAGCTTTGGCGATGAGATCGCAGATCCTCTTGTCAGTCACCTGGCTTGGACATACATGACATAACACTGCAGTGACTACATGTTCGCGAAGTGTGCTCTCTCATATACCGCAACTCTTAGAGAACGCTTATCTCTCGCCGCTCAGCCGGGTCTTAGTTTCTTGCTCGCCGAATCGGTGACTGTCGACCCTGCTGAACTTACCGAATGTTTAGCCACACCCTCGTTCTGACTCTGAGCCGTAGCACGCATGCGCACCATGTCTCTGAAAGCCTCGATCTTCGGGCGTCACCAGCCTCGAGTTCCAAACCTCCAAAAATCACAAATGATGGCCAGGCGGCCTCCTGCAGGTACTCCTGCTTCGGTTTGCCATCCCTGAGATGACCGCATGTGCAGATTCACGGAGACTGGCGCAGGAATCGGTTGAGGTTATACACTGTCATACACACATCGTCAAAACTCCGATTGGCATGTCTGGCACCAGCTCTTGGAACACAATGCATGCATGCTCGCCTCCTCAGACTACGACCCTGATGCCGAGTTCAGGGCTTGTGGATCGTCGCAGTGTAGTGTGAAATTCCAAAGGCATCCTTGGGACATTCTGACCGGAGACCACTGCACTGCCCGTGAGACGATGACTATCATCATGCATATCACTGTACTTTTGCAATTGCTAGTTACTGCTTGTAGCATTACTTTCCGTATCGCATGTACAGTGTACTGTGATACTCTGACCTTTGCTACTTTTGCTACCACCTACTTCTTCTTTTTGCTCCCGCTGGTGCTGCAGACGCTGATCCAGGTCTGCTGACCCCCGCCAGACGGAGTTCCCCGAGCTCCCCCTGCGAGTCATAGCGCGACGTGCCAAGAACTTTGGTGTGGCCGTGAGAATCATCACGCTGTCGTTTTCCTTACTTTTCTCGGACTGATCGCTTCGCAGCTTCGCACCTGCAGAGGACGTAGACGCATGGACCATTTGCAAAAGCAAGACAACCAGGACTTCTGATGAGCTTATACAGCCCCGTGCCAACGAGGTGTAGGGCAGTGCTCGTTTGTTTTTGATGTCGGAGGCACACTGGCTTCCCGAAAGCTTTTGCAATTAAGCTACATAGTTGACATGTCTGGAAGAAATCAGTACAGTTTCAACTCATCTCAACTCCGAGGCGAAAGCTCGCTTTTGGGGCAGGGACAGTTCACTGGCAGTGCTTCAAGCTGAGTTCCCAGCAAGCTCTTCGCACAGAGCGAGTGAAGAGCAAATGACCTGAGGTTGAGGTCACATTGGGACAACACCTGTAAACTGACAAGCGACGGTGCTAGGAACCAATTCCAACCAAGCAAACGCCGAGGCACGAAGGGCCTCTCAATGCCTTTCTGCTTCCTGAGATCATGGTGCGCAACCCTCCCAGCCAAAACATGAGATACCCATCGAACGTCAACTACAAGTCCAGGCCGAATTCAGTAGACAAGTGGCAAGAACCAAGCACATGTGTTGGCACTGGTGACTATGTGTTGATGGGTGATCTTGACCATGGCTGGCGACTTCTCCTTTCCAGGGCAGGATAGCACTGATAGCACTTGAGAGTGCTGAGGCTGTTGTTCGATGAGGCTTAATTATACTATCTAAGCAGGACACTTGGCATATGCCATCACAGCCATGCATGCTGACAGCCCTGCCTTCGGCTTTCGCCAAGCATCCGGAGAGAGAGACTGAGACATGGCGGTATGCAACCTGACAGTGCGACTGCCTTCATTCAGTATTTTAGTATTATTCTAATACTATTCTAGTATTAATTAAACTACAATAGCGGGTTGGGGAGAAAGGGTGGAGCCAGGCACTGATGGTCAGCAGAATGAGATCCCGACACTTTGATGCGGTAGTTCTGTTCCAACTCCTGGTGGATGAGACAGCAGCCAGGTTTGCGACCAACGGAAGGTCCTTCGTAGATGCTTGACAACCTCAACAATGGACCGGACGCCTCCATCAAACCGCTGCGAGTCTTGTTCGAGTTGTTGGTGATGAAAATGATACGCTTTCCTGGCATGGGTCAGGCGAAGCACTTGCCATATAGGTTTATGACTTGCGACGACCTGAAACCTGACTTCAAGTTGTCAGGTCCCAAAGGGGATGCTTGCGAACAGTGTTGGGCGACAAAGCGCCTCGGAAAATCAGATCATTGACCTTTTCCACGATCCGGCCTGCCACTTCCCGATGCTGGATGAGGTACTTCGATACTCCGAAACATGACTTTTTGAGCTGTGCAATCTTAAGCAATCAAGCAGAATGATCCATGCCTCCCAACTCAGTTTTTGGATCCATAATGACCTTAGTGGCGACAGACAGCCCGAGAAGCTCGGTCAGACTCAATGACATCAGAGTCAACAGAGAGTGTCACAGAGACGAGGTTGGACAGAGACCGCAGAAACGAAGACAAGCAGGGTCGGAGAGAGGCTCAGAGAGAAAGAGGCACAGTCGGATAGAGCGGAGAGCGAGCGAGCGAGGGAGACTAATGGGCAAAGACAAGCAGACACAAACAAAAAGAGTGGCGAACCAGGGAGGCAGAGACAAAGACAAGGAAACCTCGTATCACTCCCTAGTCTTCAGCCAAGAAGCCCCCATCAGAGAGAAAATAAACGTGTGTTGAGCATAGAACCTCAGGTGCAAGAAGCAATCTGCGCCCGGTCTTTGTGAAGTAGATGCAACAGACTGTGCATAAGACTTGGCGCGTGGGTGGGCACTCCTCAAGCCCTATAGTAATTACTCTAACCCTAAACCCTAAACCCTAAACCCTAAACCTACATGTGCTGCAGCTGTGCGATTTTTTTCAAACAGCGTGGTATCACGCCATTGTCTCCAGCAGCTGCTCCAGCCGCCGTTTTATGTTGGCCTGAAGTGTACCGCAAATGCTTCGGGTTTAGGGTTTAGGGTTTAGGGTGCATCCAACACAGCATCATTGCATGCTAGCCATCCTGAAATCCAGCCAAGAGTCGAGATTTTGAAGGCCCTTCTGCCCAAGCACTATTTCCGTCTCATCCAAGGCTTCCTCATACCTTACTGCGCACTCTTTTGAGCACCAGCTTGAATCCGCGCAACCATCTCAAGCAAGCTGCAACATCTTGGCATCCTCAAACAGCCCCTGATCTACGGCGGCCTGGCAGATTTGGATAGATTTGGAGCATCAATGTCCAAGCTTGTTTTCTTACATGCTACGAAAACATGCATCTGGCGATGCTGTCAGTGCAAGTGAGGCAGGCCTCGCACGCTTGTGCCAGCGAGAATCGCACACGCGCCTGCTGCCACGAAAGCATTCTGTTCTCGTTGAAGGTGGGCAACCAGCTGCTAGGAAGCCTAGCTGGAGCTGAAAGCATGCTTCCGAAGCATCCTTTCACACCCGTTTCTGCAGGGCCTTTGCCGCCATAGCAAAGGGCAGCGCCGTGTCGATAGCTTTTAGTGCCTGCACCACGGTCTCTTCAAACACAGCGGGGTTCGCCCCAAGCCCTAAAACCTTTAACCCTGCGCTCCAACACCAAGGAGCCCAACCTGCAAGAGCACTTTCAACCCGTCTGCCACCCCGCTCCTCCGAAACCTGCAAGCCCACCCCACTAGGCGGCCCACACCCTCAGCCCCGTCTTGAGGCTTTGATGCAATTGGAGGGCTGAAAAAAGCGGCTCCAAGTTTCTCCAGGGCCTCCCTAATCTTGCGCAAACGTGGCAAGCAAGGTCTCCTTATCTATGGGTCCCTAGGTCGCTTTGTAAACTACAGCTACGCTACCTGCAAGCAGGGTTTTGCACTTGGGGACGTTCGTCGGACGCGGTATGTGTATCTGAGTGCATCTCTCGCCCTACCTGTGCACAGGCTCAGGAGGAGCGTGCAAGACCAAGGGCCTTTCATGTCCTGACGGGCCTTTCGGAGGCCGGTGGCTTCTGGCAGCAGAACAAGTCCACAGTGGCCGTTTCTTTGCTTCGGGGCTCCACGGCTCATGGCCGCTATGCTTGCAGAAGCCACGCAGGAAAACAACCACCAAGCTCGATTCCAAGAAGGCGGCATAATCCGACAAAGAACGCATGCAGCACCCACATCACTGACGAGACCTACGTAGCGTGCAGCTACCAGGCAGCCATGCGAAATCTTCATAAAACACTAAAACGTGGGACTATGCGACTCGGACATGAGGATCACAGGGACTCGGATGCGATCACATACAGCTCAGGCCATATTCCCGGACTGCTGGTTGCCACTCCAGCGGCAGAACTTCAAGCGTCAGCACCAAGTCATCAGTAAGAAGTGCGCGTGAGATGTAAGCGACCCACCTTCATCATACCACGACCAGGCAAACAACTGGAACATGAAGCACGGGTTGCCCATGTGAACATATCGAATGGCATTCAGCAACAATGGTTGGACATCAACCGCATCCGAGAATAGTAAGGTTTGTGGCCATCAGCGTTTTCAATCCATGCCATGCGCAAGCCATGATGCTCCAACTCAACGACAACGGCGACACACTACCAAGGAGGAGGCTGAGAAAAGGCCCGTACCGATGTCCAAATCCGTTCTTCAAACGAGTGCAAGTCATGTTTCGCTCCGTGTTCTCCAAAGCACTGAGCGAAAAGGCATGGGACAGCCCCATTCTACAGTAGCCATCCCGAACAAGGCCATGAACAAGAAGCTGCACCTGCAAACGTTCCCTCAAGGGAGGCACCTCCATGCCTGTTCAGGGAGCGGTCTTCGGATCCGTTGTTGTGCTTGGCATCTTTACAGGAGCGTTTTGTGCAGTGAGTCAGTAGCTGAGTTCAGCCGGGGCACCACGACGAAGTTGGGCTGAAATACTGCGGAGGTCATTGGCAACCTGCGCAAGTCTCACCAACCCCGCGACATGGTGTATTCGGTGGTCGGCCTCGCCGTCGAGCTTGCATCGGTTGCCTTGGACTTGAGAACTCCCCAAGGCCCGAATCCGTCATGCGACCCTTCTGAGCAAAGTCGAGCACTCAATGAAATGCTACGAAATGCAAAGAACCGGACTGCACTCCAGTAGACCTCTGAGGTGCGCGCAGGCACAATGCCAGCCTCCACGCTCTGCACGGATGGTCGCACGTCGGGGCTCCGAGGGCTGGAGCAAGACCTGCTTTAGCGCCATGCGGAAAGGATCCCTGGGATGCCTGTTTTGAGTTAACCCAGTTAACCGTCCCGGCTTCGCAGTCTTCAAGGCCTCCTCAGCCACGTAGCTTGTTGTGATCTCTTCGTTCTCCTCATGCCCACAGTTTGGCTTGACATGACAGTGACTGAGATACTGTAGCGTAAAACTCGCCCTTCTCCTCCCGAAAATTGTCTCTATAACAGCTCGGCGAGCGAAATGCCCCAATGCCCACCGCGGGACAATTAACGTGGCGAAGGCGACCCTCCTGACATGAGGCCCAATATAATGTAAACACTGCTAGGAAAATGTTCAGCGACTCCCAATAATTCAATAGCACTGCAGCATGCTGCAGCACGGAGCGCAACCATGAATGCGAAATTCACAACCTGGACCGTGCGCATGCAATCTTTCCGGCCAGCCTCAAATCGCAGTTCTTAGCACTGTGCCAGTACCTCAACCCCGACACACCGGCAACAAACTGCGCCTCTTAACGCTGGGGTCACGTACTTAGAGTTAATAGAAACGCACTTCGAGGGTGTCCGCGATGCCAGCATAGCTGAGGCAGCGCAGCTCCCGCAGACCGTCTGAGTCAACAGCACTGCAGCACATGTCACAAGGACGCATGTGAAAGCCTTTGCCACATGCCACATACTTTCCAGCTGGACACCTGTCGGAAACTAGAATGATGAAGGTAGGGTGACAAGAGCTGTTGCCGCCAGTACCGATAAAAGCACCTGAGATACACTTTGTTTATCAGCACCCTCGGCAAACTTGCCTTCGCCGAGCGTCTCCACGACGGCGTTGGGTTGGCAGCTGTGTGAAGCCAAATCCATCAACTCAGGGACAAGTGGAACGAACACGCAGTTCTCCAGCCCGACAGGATTTCAATATCCCATGCTGAACTCTCACAGTTGTCAGGCCACGTCTCCCAAGACTTTAAGCCAAGAAATGCCTTGTACAGAGCGTAGTTCCCATTGGACAAGCGGCTACCCCGCTCCTCGGTGTCCAAGAGTTGGCTTGCCCGATGCTTTCAGCAAAACATGTCATGCACAAGCGGAGACCGACTACATGTGAACCCATAAGCGGGACTTTGGTGTTACGAGTATCGCAATATGTCGTTTCGCTGACCAGGCTCGCTGACGATGCCGACCACCTCAACGAAAAGCTTCCAGTCAACAGCAGCTGCAAACCTCACATTGGTGTCTGCAGTTCCCGGAGTGCCATCATGTACATTTTTAAACATGGCGATACTCCAAAGTGACACTGCGGGAAACGCATTCGCATAGAGGGAGCCAGAGAGAGAGAGAGAGAGAGAGATGCAGATGTGCCGGAAGTCCGGTGGCTCAGTCGCATGTGCGCCGCCGTTAAGACATGGAGGCATAATGACAAAAGTCTGGCTTCATCCTGCGTGCAAGGTAATTGTTCGCTCCAGACCACGGTCAGCATCCTGCTGTCCTGTCGGTCCGGAGCAACACCGACAAGCCACACAGGGAAGTCCTGCAGGAACGCGTGGATCACACGCCTCAGCCATACCGCAGTGCAGATTACTCTTGCAGGACATTCTTAGGTCATATGGCAAAATCTCAGAACACCAGCCGCAAACCAAAAACAGCCATCTTCACAACGTCCGTGTCCAATGGAAGCCACCTTTCAAAATGCAGGGTTGTGCTGCCAGGTTGCTCGGTCTCGCGGATGCTGCAACTGCCCTCGGGGACACCCATCGCAAGCAGAGCCTGCTGGCAGACTTGACTTGCTTCTTATGAGTCAGCCAGCCTTGGCAAATCTAACGCCTGGATCCGATCCTGCCTGCACCTCGCACCCTGCTCTTACATGGATATCTGCTGAACTATGACAAGCATTGAAGGCAAGAGTGCCTCCTGCTGCTCTACTGGAAGATGCCTCAGAGCTTGCGCAATTGATGTGCTGATGTGTATCGGCATTGGCGTTCTGAGGCTGAACCGGCGCCCCGATCAACGCCCAGCTGCCAAAGCAACACATGTCCAAAAGCGACGATGGACCGCTTCTTCAATCAAACTGCCTAAAGCAAGCCTGCCAAAAGCTCTATCATCTGCACATGCTGCAAGCCTTCTGCTGCTGACAGCAACTCAGCCTTCTGATAATTCAAGTTGCTTGAAGGCCACAAAGCTTGCGAGGCGCTGGCTGTCACCAAGGCGAGCCGCAACCTCCACACTTGGAAGCACCACACACTTGGAAGCACCACAGTCACCTAGATATAAAACATGGGTACGAAGCCTGGTGCACGTGAAAACGAAAATGCCCTGTATGTCTCTAGCGACTGTAACGGCCAGGACCCCTCAAGTTTGAGCTCGAGTTGGCCAGGGCGTACAAAAGCCCTTGCGAAACTATTTATCAAGACTCCCCTGGTTTGGGCGAAGGACCGCAAATTTTGAGGGCTACTTTCAACAGAGAGCAATCGCTACTAAAGCATCATTCTGTCGGACCGTCCGGGTGAAATCGACTCGCGGGAGAAACAGTTCATGTCCCAACGGGCTGGTCCAACTCAGAAGTGAACCTGTAGTAGTACGTCAGGAGCTGCACTGCGGAGAAATGCCGTGGCGTCCTTGTCAGCGCCAAACCCTAGAGTTCAAAAAGAAGCTTGTAGATGTATGATAAGTCATTGAGGGACGCGAGATTTTGTCCTTCGGAACCAGCAGCAGCGGCATCTCCTCACAAGTCGGATTGCAACGGATAGAATATTGGCATTCTGCAACAAGGACACCTCAGAACGCCCCTAATGATGCTTACTCATCGCTCACCCCACATTCGGTTTGCGCCAAAACCCCGGCACCCGCAGCAGTGTCTCACCAAAGCCGACAGATTGTCGGCTGCGCAGGTGCGGCCCGTCTGCCACCGGCTGCGTGGCGGCCTCCAAAGACACAAACCAGCAAACAAAAGAGCTACATCTGGCCTGCACTTTTGTGCAGCACACTAGGCCCTGAATCCCTGCAGCCATGGAATAGTGGAACACTTCGTCTCCACCTTCACTCTCCCCTTGCGACCACCGCTGCCACTACCAGTACCACTACCAAGGCGACGACGACTAGCAATCGCTGCTTAGTATTTACTACCAACTGCTTACTGCTTGCGGCTTAATGCTCTTCCCACTTAAGCCCAGAACAGCAACACCACCAACAACAACAACAACGACGACTACAAGAAGAAGAATAAGAAGAACAATAATAACAAGAGCAGTAACAAGAACAAGGAACACCGGTACACTGCGTACCTGTACTGCCGCACCCCCCACCCCCCCACACAGCCAACCTGCCAGTATTTACTGGCGTTCATTCAATACCATTACCCCTGTTCCTCCAATGTCATGACTCGTGTTTTCTAGTATTCTTGCCATTTCTACTTTAACGTTGGCTTTTTCTAGTGTTACTACATCCAGGGGGGTGCACTGCACTACAATGCAGATTCTGCTGCCGGAGTCAATAATCTGAAATCTGCACAGCCCCATACTGGATTCTACGCACTTGCGGGATTCTGCTTTTTGGAATTTCCAAACCTGGTAGTGGTTTCGGTACTCTGGCCAAAACTAAGAACTGGTTCCACCATTCTCCCAAACCGACAAGCTGGCAAACTCACCGGGATTGCACATACTTACCCGAAGCTGAGAACTGTGGATTCTCCGCAGTGTTCCCTAACATCAAGACTGCCTAAACCATGCCCCCTCCGTTTGCTACTGTTACTACTGTTACTGTTACTGTTCCTGCTACTACTACTGCTACTACTACTACTACTACTACTACTAGTACTAGTAGATTACTACCACCACTACTTTTTGTATCAGGGCTTGTGCTATCGTCACAACTCCTTCTGGTGATGCTGCTCTTACTGCTACTGCTGCTGCTACTACTACTACTGCTGCTACTACTGCTATACTACTACCACCACCACCACTAAGTTACTACCGCTACCAGTGCTACTTCTACTGCAATGGCGACTGCGAATTCTACTGTTGCTACGACTGCCACTGATACTAAGCAGTGACGACTACCAAAGATACGCCTCCAGCAAGGTCAAAAGACGGTACGACCGGTGAGTGCAATACTTGCTGGGTCTGTTTCTAGCTTTTCTCACAGTCGTAGCCACAGCTTTCGCAGTGTTGCCTCAAGATTTAAACCGACAGTCAGACAGGAGCAGCGCAACTTGGAACTCGAAAAACCTTCTGCCTCCGGTGCCCTGCCATGCGCACGCTTCGGAGGCCAAGGATCCATGGCCAAGCAGGACATTGCAACTACCTCCTGTGACTCCTTGCTGATGTTGCATGCAGCGAGTGTTCTGAACTGGAGCTGCTCACACCATGAACGCAAGTGTGACCTGGGAAGAACGGTTGGCACAAGGACTTAAATAAACGCATATGCAGCCTTGCGCAGCGGAAAGGCTTTCTACTAGACTGACATGGTCAACTGGCAACGAATACAGTCAACATATGTCGACGATCTGCTGCTGGTGGCCTAGCTTCATTGGAGCCTACTGACCCCGAGGCCGGTGCTCTGGCGAGTCCAGGGTGAAGTCGCGCTCCTCCTGCGTGCCGGCTCAGGCGGGACGTGGGCTTTGGAAAAACACTGGCGACACCTCGCAAAGTTCTTGACACCCGGCTTCCATTTTCCACAGCGCTTTCAAACACGATGACTCTGCCAGAGTTGCTGCTCTTGGCAGATCTTGACCATGGTTTTCACCTGACGCACTCCGAGGCACGCAACAACATGTGCTGAATTACAGACCCAGCAACTGCCAGCACAACATGGCAATTCCCTCACATTTGGCCCCGGCACCAAAGCGGAGAGCTCACTGGCAGCTGCTGCTGCCTCGGCCGCAGCTCCCGGGCCACTTAGGGCCGGAAGGCCGCAAAGAGAATCCTGCCGCAGAATACTTCTCCCCACCCGACCACCTTGCGGCCCGTGCGATTTCCTTACATTTAATGATCGCTTGAGAACCCCACGCAGAGTATGAGGTCATCACAGAGAGGGGTTGGCAAAATGGGTGTTACGCGATAGACACTATCGGATAGCGGCGGCATCGTGGAGCAACGTCTGATGATCAGGTGCACAAACTGAAGTGGCTCTTTCAACCTGCGACGAATTGGACGGCTCCTTCGAAGGCATCGCCTTGATGAGGAACTGAAATGTGAAGGCTGTGAGCGTGCTGTGGTACTGCCTGCAATCTACACACGTGCAATACATTACATGATAACACATGCCCTTCCTAGTCTTCATTTGCTAATTTTTATGTCTTATGCCAAGACTCGCGAGAGTCTCATTGTAGGCCTGACGGGCAGAAAACGGCAGGAAGATTGCATCGGCAGGGGTAGGGCGATAAACAAGAGAGGGGGTTGCTGCAAAGGGTTGCAAGATGCTGAAGACCGGACATGGCCTCAGCAGCAGCCTCAGGATACTCTTCCAGCTGCAGCTGCAAGAAACGAGCATAGAAACCCAGGCCGCGCAGCAGCCACTGCAACTGCATAGCACCTGGCGCGCATTTCCCAAGTCACGGGTAAGAATCCCGACCTCGCATCTTCAGAGGGCATTCCTGAGACCTCGGGGATATCCCCGCACGGGAGTCCGGAGCCAAAACCAGGAGCGGCACCACTGGGGTCGGCGAGCTGGCAGTGGTTCGGCTCAGCGGCTTGATGCTGGCGCGTGGCCTCCGCTGGCTTTCGAATCGCTTCAGTATCGGCAATCTTGCGTAATTGCTTTACGGTTGCCCTTTAGGCACTACATGCAAGCGGGGATCTATGCTCTACACGTTCGGATCAGTGTGCCCTCAAAGCGTCCTGCAAGCTCTTTTCGATCGTTCCCACTACAAGTCATGTCATGTGGCATTCAGTTCATTTGCGACCGGCAATGGGCCCCACATGCCTTCTCCACATCGAGGAACCCCCTCAATGTCGCTCTTGTTTCGGGCTCGGAGCTGAGGCACTGTTGGACTCCTGCGCAAGATGGTGGATGGGTATCGACCCCTCCAAAAGGGGTTCAGAACAACATCCGAAGCCAGGATTGATGAATAAAGTAAGTGCAAAGCATGGAACCTCGCAAATTCTTGCCGATGTCCGCTGCGACCGTTGACGATGCAGTACCCAACTGACCCAGCACTGTGGTGTAGATGCTCGCCGCCTTTGCAGGTTCGGCCAACTCGACAACACATCCCGAATACTGCGCCTGACCGTGATCGTCGCTCGATCTTCTAGACAGACGGACAGACGGTATAGAAAGCAACTGAAGCCAAACATTTAGGTGCCAAGTTGGTGCACTTCGGGATTTGTGCCGCACCCCTTGTCTTCCATGCCCTTCATGGAAAAAAGAGAGGCTTGAAGACGGCGCAGAGATGTGCCCACGCTCGCGAAGGTGTCGAGAGCGTGCCAACTGCATGTTACCCTGCACAGCTTCGATGCCAGAAGCGTCGGCTGACACACGTGGTTCGGACTGTGCTGCAGTCATACCATGCCAAAGGCATCAACACTGAGACTCCTTTCCGTGGCCAGCGCACTTCTTGATAATTACATGGCACTCGGAAGCATGGCGTACAGTACCTCCCGACTCGCCCTGCCTCCAGAAAGTGCTCCATGTGGACATCCGCACCACCGTCCAATCGCGCAAGCTCGCATCGTTTACGGGACAGCGTAAAGAGGGAGGAGCCTGTGAAGCCAAGGCAATGTAGCGGCACCAAAACTTTTTGGACAACGTAGCGGCCTTGTATTCGATGCTTTTCCTTGTGCTAGCTGCTAGCCCCTCCCGATCCCCTCTTGCCCCGAGAAAGCATCAGAGGCTCGAGGCTCTGGTTCGGTGCTCTTGGTACTCGGCTACAGGCTTATGCTCAGAGAAGATTGGCTGCGCTGAGCCCCAGGCTATCTCCAACTTCTGACCGGCCATGGCATGCAGTCTGTGGCATGGCGTCTGGGACCGTCGTGGAGGGCTCGCGCCAGACTTCGAACCATACCTCGGATTCTGCAGCAATCATGCAGATACTGCTGGGCTACCTGAGCAAAACCGCCTCTGCCCACGATGTAAGATGTCTCGGACACAGACTAACTAACTGGATCAACCCTGGTCAACCCTTGAACACCGGCACTTCTAAACCATTCAAAACCAAACTGCAACAACATGCCATACGATCTGATTACATGATCGGTAGGGATTCATGCCATGCCATGACACTTTGCTCCTATCTCGGGACATACGCTCCTCAGAAACCATTGTTCAAGCCTGTTTTTGCCCCTGCCATGATCAAACAAGGACAAGAAGGAAAAGGTCGAACAACTAGCTTCTGATGACAACTCTTCTTGTAGCAAACAATTCGACGTGGCTGCGTTGCCTCTGCAAAATTGAGAAAGCAATGTTGAGGGAGCTAGGCCGATGAATCTGACGATAACGACTCTGGTGTTGTATCATATCTCTACACTTCCAGCTATTGTACATGTCCGTAGAGTGTGACATGACTTATCAACCATGATAGACTTGCCTTCTATGGATTGGTATGACACAGTGGATTCTTTGTTGTCGCGCAACTGCTCATTGCATGTCGAAGTGGCGATCTTGCGATCGCCGCGCTTCAGGATACCGGGATACTTCCTCGGAGGGTCGTGGCAGCATTCGATCCATGTGGAGGCACCTTAGTTTAAGACTGTGGGCTGTATCCTGTATCTGCAATAGACATGACTGTCCCTGCTTTGGCCTACCAGCCCCTGCACAATGCAAATTATTCTTGCTGTTGCGGAATGCCGTATTGGGTTTGAAGAAATCTTGTTCACTAAACTTTGTCAAGCTTTTTCACTGGGGTTGTGCGAGCGAGTTGTGGTTGGAACTGCTGCGTATCCGGAAGCCAGATACCATGCGGCTCTTGCTATTGCTGGATTGTCTGAGCCCCCAAGTTTCACAGTTCTTTCAGTCAGTCTTACCAGGTCTCACGTGGCACAAACAAATCAACCCCTTGCGGCAACTGCAGGCGTTGGGTGAATCGGGGTTTGGAAAGACCTTGCAGTTGCGTGGTGCTTGACAGTTCGGCTCTCGCAAGGCAGAGGTCGTGAAAAACGGCCCGGAATGGTCATCGAAGCGGAAATGGCCGAAATGCACACCAGGTGCTTCCCAGCATTCAGACGCAAATCCATCACACACACACACGCACACACACAACAACTGCTGCAAAAGCCTTGAGGGCCGAGCGTGACACGACGAGTCGGGGCATGCTCGTTGCATTAATGTAGGGGCCTGAATAATTAGAACAGGGTTTTGTGGGTTCCTTCTATTAGTGTAATGGGCCCCAAAACCCTATTCCAACTGTTAGGCCCCTATATTACTTTCAAAACCTCCTGCTTTGGCGATTTGTTCTGATGTGTCAAGCCCGCGCAAGCTCTGTGCTAATAAGTTTCTCGAAACCGATGTCCGCCAGTCATACTAGTTCTAAACCACAATGGGCCAAAGCTGTAGCATTTTGCTTTGCAGATCACGCATTCTCCGGAAAGCCTGCTACGGTCAATTATTCACCGGGATGCCCTGGCAACGAAGACACTTGATGATGTCATAGTCGCCCGCGCCGTCCAGGTTTGCAAACAAGCCATCCCGATCTTTGTAGACAACCTCCCGCATGCATACAAATGCATGGATACTGGACAACTTTGTTTCATCTGCATCAGAATTAAGACTCTCGGCCTTAACTGCGAAGAAGGTACAGCATCTGCATACGGGTCATTGGTCACGACTACCGGCTGGCTCTGCGAATGCTCCATAGCTAGTCATTCATCAACCAAACGGGCCTCTCTGCCGGCGCACATTTCGCATAATGCAGGTTCTTCAGCGCCTGGCACCGGACGCCGCAGGCGTATCAGCTGTGCGCTCACTTGCAATTCAACTGAGAAAGGCCTTTGCATAATGTTACCTTCATCTTTATAACCCTCCTCCGTCCCCTCATTTGCGAAACTCGGCCGCAGGAACCCCAGCTGCCCCAGCTTAAGAAACCCGTTTTCGAAAAAAACCAGAATAGTCAAGAATTCAAGGCTGCTGACGCTACTGCTACTTCCACTGCTGCTGCTGCTACTACTACTACTACTACTACTACTACTACCCTACTCCTCCTCCTACTACTACTACTACTACTACTGCGACGACGACTATTACTACTATTACTACTATTACTACTACTACTACTACTACTACTACTACTATTACGACAACTACTAACACTAACCACTAACTACTGCCACGACTACGACGCCGACAACTATACTACTACATTAACGCTGGTTTGCATCCGGAACTACCACCACCACTACCGGCCCCTCCTCAGCAACCGCCGGGCCGGAGGGATTGATTCGAATGAAGGCATCACGCATGCACATAACACAGACAAGCAGTAGTCGTGGAGAGCTACAGAACATGATTCAAGAGAGCCCTGTGTTCATCTTCCAGGCCCCCTACATGCACCTTCTCCTGGAAGTGGCTGAAGCTTTTGGCCGGAGAAGCCGAGGCAGGGGCAGAGCCACCGCAAGGGGCCATCCCAGAGGTGTCCCCAAGGTTCGCCAGGCTGCCAACATGGCAGCACCATGTCGCGAAACTACATCTACCATGGCAGTAGTACATGCCGTTTAGGACTTGTTTGGTTGAGACTTGAGACACAAAGACCCTGTCGCGCCTTTTGGCGGTATCATAATAGTAAACTGTTTGAACAGTAGTGATACTAATGATATCTCTAGACTCTAGAGCCTGTCATTGATAAAGTGGATTCTGGATTCTGGTCCTGATCCCACTATTGAAACATCTCACGGTCAAAATCGCCACCACAACCACCACGACGACTTGTACCATATATACCACGATGATAGCCGAACCCCGACTTCATGCACTCCGACGTGACCAAACCAGCTCGACCACTGAGATCCAGGTAGACTTGCGAAGCAAAGGCCAGGGAAGCGTGACAAATGCTCACCCAGGCCTCTGTCGAGCTTTTCGGATAGCTCAGCAGGGCAGGAGGGGTTATGCAAGGCTCCTGAATGGAGTAGCTCGTGAGGTCTGCATCCCGACAGTCCTGCCGGGCTCGGGCAGCAACTCTGCCCAAATCCCTCGAGCTCAGAACCACTTTGATCTAGTTTTGGCTGCAAGGGGTTGCATATAATTCATATGAAACGACCACTTGACAAAGCAGAGGAAGGCAACTGCTTTCGATGGGTGGGGACGATGCAGAGCTTTCGCATCGTTCGGTGTGCTGCACCAGCTGTTGGGCGGTTGGTTTAAGCGGAGTTCGGCTAGTGGCGATATTTCGCGACAAATTTGGGTTGAATCGGCTCCGACTGTGGCTGCAGCTGCCCGGCTTTTCATGAGCTATGCTCTGGAGGTGGTCCAAGGCCACATGCCCCAAAAAGGCATGCGGGTTTTGGAAGCAGCTCGGGCTGAGTTCCGTTCTCTTTGGGTCAATCGACTACGAGGCTATGAGATGCGTCAAAAATTGTCAAAAGCAACATCAACCCCAAAATCAGCATCGTCCAGCAATGCAATGCTTACAACTAGACCATCATGCTTCACATGCCTTGGCCACGGCATAGTCCCCTTGCAGGTTATTCCGCAGCGTTTGGGTGAAGATTTGAGAATAGCACAAACACACCGCAGGCACGAACTCGCCTCGAGTCCTGTCTGAGATTTCGACGAGGCCTGGCAACAGCTCGCGGTCTCTCTTGCACAATCTTCTCACATTCAGACGACTGCGGAGCCAGGCAAAAATCGGGTCATCGCTTTGCAGTCGCAGGCTCTCAAGCTACCACCATGGCCTGGAAGTCTCGCACAGAAACCTGGCACGAGATCCAGCTTCCAAGACACAGGGCATCTGCGCCCTCGGAGTTTGGGGTAAAAACCTACAGCGATCAAAGCGACTCGCTCAACTCACTATCTGCACTGCCACTTTGAGGCGCCGCGTCTTGCCTTGACTGTCTTGAACCACAAAACATACATGAACACCAAACCGGCAACTGCTACCCTGCACTCTGGACCTTTACCACTTCCGGTGACCCTCTCCCGACCTACTCCCACTTGGCTTCACCTTGTGCTCAAATCTCTCTGTGGCTGTGTCTGTCTCTGATATCTGTCCCTTTTTGCTGGGGTCTGTGTCTCTTTACGTAGAAGCCAGAGGAATTCTGCTAGTCAGCATCGGTGACACAAGGGCGCACCCTGAAGATGTCGCGGGTTTTGAACCTGCAGCGGGCCGCTCGCTCGAGCCGATTCGCACAGGCAAGACACTGCAACATGCCATCGCCGGTCAGAGAATCTCACATCCAATAACAAGTTGCTGAGGCAGCGTCTCGTCCCGTAGCAACAAGCAGGCTGTATGTTCTCGGAGGTCGGAAACCTGCACCAGGGCTGGCAAGCTAGCACTTCAGCAATCTCTTCAGATGTCAGAATATGAAAGATCAGACGCAACCTCACAATACACAGGATAATAGGAGCATGGCTCTCCACTCATGCAACATGCCTTGACATTGAAGCCTTTCCCAAGAGCCGTCTGCACCAACTTCACATCGTGAACCAAGCCTGGGCAACGCTTGACTTCGGGACTGGGCTTTCGTCGCCGACTTATTCAACTTGCGGCACAAGCACACACCAAGTAGCTCCCCCTGAGAGACTGTCGACTGAGCCCCCACACGAGGCACGCTTTCAGTCTCGCCTTCAATCGGCGTGCTTGGAAAAACGATGGTCTTTACCTTGGCGGCTTCGCGTCCCACCAGGCAGTCAACTTCCCGTCGCTTCTTCGAGAGGCCATATGCACCAGTTTGGCAGTATCTTGCAGTGAAGCGAAACTCCTGGGGTCCAGGCAGGCTAAACATCGGCTAAACATGTCAAAACGTTGTGTGTCTGCATCGTCTTGGACTTGGAGCCGGGCCCATGAGCCGTCATTTAGCTGTCGCCCGACCAGGGCGTCGGGCAACCTGTCCTCAAAGTGGCGAGACTATGCAAGACTACAGTGGCAACATCGGAAACGCAATGGACAGTCCTTACCGGCCCTTACGCATGGCCGCAGCACTATTGGAAGATCCACCTGGAATCAGAAAACTCCCAACCCTTTTGGCTGCCGCAGCCTTCGCAGGGTTGCTGTGCACAAGGCACCTGCTGAAAGATTTGTGGACAAAGCTGCGGCTGAACAGAATAGCGCTCCAAGCAGTTCCGGTCTCGGAATGATGTGAGTAACCCTCTAAGTGCACAAGGCGTGTGCGCAGCTGCTGGGAAAGAGCGGGTGCATTGAGCGGACACCGCTAACATCAAATGAATACCCTAACCCACCGCCAGCTGGTTGCCTATCCAAAAAACCGGTTTTCCGTGACCCTGACCTCAAAAATGCAGAATGTTGTCGAGTGCCCTTGCTGGGCACATGTCACAGACCGGTCGGACACATGGATGTCGTAAACCTCCATAGCAACGAATCGACAGCCTGCTGTCTTATCTTCCTCGGGTTTCGCCGCTTCGACAGGCATGGCTTCATCGAAATTGCGGAACTTAGACCGAACGGGAGTAGGGTAAACCCAGAAATCCGGAACGGAGAAATCACGCCAGATACCCACCAGAAGCACTCCGTGGATGTGCTGCTTCGGAGCCTGTGCTGTCTGCCATCCACGAGTGTTCCCTGCCACACAGGGCTGAAGCAATACAGAACAGACTCGAACTGGCTGGGCAAAGAAAGCGAAGCAAGGCTAATGGGCATGCGGGCTTTGCAGCAACCATGCAAGCAAGAAGAGTCCACAGCATTGCCTCGATCTCCACAGACTCGGAGTAAACTCTCACCTTTGATGCAGTAGACATCTTACAGAAGTGTGCTGCGAACCGATGCATCTGCAAAGGTGCTTCTTCGTCATATCGTGGCTGCATAGGTTTCAAGTGTCTCGATTTCAGCAAGTAGGTATATACCGAGCTTGTGTGTGTGAGCGTGCGTTTGTGTGGAGTCTCCGTGCTAAGGCTGAGAGCATGAGACGGACACAACAATATGCTGAGCGTAACGTGTGATGCTCACGATTCACACTGCACTGAAGATGCTTCCAATGCAGACATGCTGTCACGAACACTTACGCTAAAGCGCCAGCCAGCCAAGTCAAACTATCCGGGCCCGTTGCAATGGACATTGCCCTCCCCCTGTTGTCGGCGGGGTTGAAAAGCTTGCTGGCCGTGCTGTCCTGAGTGAAAGAAACATTTCTTGTTGGGAGGTCGGTATACTCAATGACCAAACTTCTGAAATCTTGTGCTTGCTCATGCTTAATTAAGTGGAACGCATAGTTGTCGGCAACACCCACCGAATGTATTCGCGGTGCGACAGGAATAGCACCAAACACAAACCAAGTCAGAATGAAGCGGGGGCTCTGATCGCGATGTGTCTGCCGTGATCCACAGCAGACCATGCCTGGGATGCCGAACAACCTCGCTGGGTGCAACACCGTGGTTGTTCATTGCTCAAGGAAGCCAGAGACAGTGCAGCGAATGAGTAAGCTTCGTGCTGTTGGAGTCTGCCCGTGCGGCTGATGTCCGGAAAGAACGCGGCGAATGCCCGACCTCATGGAGGTGGGTTTACATTTTCTTGTCAGGGACCGTCAAGCAACGCAAAGAGGGCAGTCGTCGCTCACGAAACAGCAAGGCATGCCGTGCTGAGAGACACAATAACATGTTACGTGAGCATGTGCATAGAGGGGCATGCCGGTCATGCGCCTGGTCTAGAGACAGTTTCCGAAGACTCCTGTCAATTTGCCATATGTCCATGCGAGCCCGAGCCAGCCATTTGTCAGGCTATCTGCTAAAATCCAATATGAGTATTGCCGAATGTTGCGCACCGACAGATGTCCCAGCCTAATCGCACAATCATGTGGACTGGCTGCTGCTAGACTGTGGGAATGTTCAGATGGATACAGAGGGCTATTCAGGATCATCGAAGCTCCGAGCAGTTCCGACCTTTTCTGTGAGCGCATACGCGCTTGCCCATTAAGTGCTCGGTTCATCTACTGCCTGTGGTTCAAACCCTTCTGCCGACCGAGCACGAGGCCTTTCCAGGTAGTCTTGCACCTTCGGTTGTCACAGCTGCGGCAAACGTAGAGAATCTAAGGATGTGGAGGGCTTTAGAGTGCGGATGCTTGGTTCGGTCGAACTCGCATCCTCGACAACCCGTGGCGGCTTGCTGAAGCTGCATCGTCTATGTTCTTGTGCGACGTTCGCAGAGCCTCAGGCCTACTTGGCCCAGATCCCGCATGGTCCGCAGCAGGTGCCAGTAACCGAAGGTTCCAACTCCGACCCTTCAGCATCCGCCGCTCCACTGCAGCATGAACCAGCCCGATCTTTTGTTATGCAGCAATACGCACAACACGATCCTGCACCACGACAGTTCAAACATGTCCAAGCCATACTCGCAAGTAAGCCTGGAGGGTCGAGGAAGTCCGTGCTGGAAGGGCCCCTTGCTTCCATCAGTCTCCGTGTGCAGAGACTGCCCCAGCCCACGCCCAAACATGCCATCACTTCCGACTTCAAGATTGATCTCGACACAACTGCCGTCAACTGCTCCCTCCTTCCCAATCTCCCCCCTTTTCCTTTATCTGTGCTGTTGGATCATTGAGAGGTTTCCTTGGAAACCTGACCAGCGTTCTCCCTTCTCCAAGGTCCCAAGGCCGGGCCCGGCACAGTCACCACCTCGTCGCTCTCCCCGCCTTTCTTCCCCCTCCGCACCCCACAAACTTCACGAAACTTTCCGGAGGAACGTGCAGATCTGTACTGTATGCAGTAATACAACAGCTCGACATGAGATCCGTGGCCCAGCCTTCTCTGAGCGTTGCTGAGGGTTTCCGTCCTCGCAAACATGGCTGAAACCAGTCGAGTGAAGGGGCTTTGTTGCTAAATGACGGGGGTGATGGGGCTTGCAACCTCTAGTGCGGCGAAGCAAGGCCTTGAACCTCCCTCGCAGACATAATATGTTCCAACTATGTGCTAGCTCTCTCCCTTTCTCGCTCTGACACATTGCTTCGTGACCATCTCTCGGCAAAATCTCCCAAAGTGAGGCACTACGTGCAACTTGCAGCCAATGCGAGCACTGTGGCTGTGACCACCCTCTCTAGAACCTGTGCTGTCTTGACATCTGCTCCGCGATCTTTGACACTCATAATGGGACAAGCCGGGCAACCCCTCACAGTCGAGTGGGGTACTACTACACAGGCCACAGCCAACTGCCAAACACATCACCTACGCCATTGACAGTGGCTGGACTGACCGACAATCGACTGGAACACGCACAACTACCGGTGCGCTTCGGCGACAGGAGTTGACTACGACACACACCTTTGAGGCCTCGAGCTTGGCCCGGGTCGGAAGCCTCCGTGCTGTTCTTTCAATGACCGACTCAAGTCATCTCCGATCACAATCTTGCACATGATGTCAAGTGTAGGAGTCTTCAGAGGTCCTTGAACGGGTTGACGTAGACAACCTGTCTCTGGAAAATCTAACGCTGACTTTCCAAGAGCAGTCATCAAAAACCGACACTAGGTCACTAGGTCGATCGAGCAACGCGCCCTGAGCGACAGAATCACAGCGCTGTGCCCAACAATGCCAAGCAGCTGTCTCTTTACCTCCACCTCGGGTATGGCTCGCAACAACTAACTGGAGATGGGACTGAAGACGATCATACTGCTCAGTAGGCCGTGTTGGAGGAAAACTTGGGACCATCAGGCTAGCGGCCGGGAGTGCCGTACTCGATCAGGGTCTCGCCACCTCGTTTGAGCACCTGCAGTTTGCAAGATTGGATCTGCTTTGCATCTGGCTCCATTGTTTTGAAGTTCAGTGTTTGGCGAACTCATATTTCGCGCAAGATCGACGGCTGAAAGCATACTCCGGTCATCACGGCTCTAGCAAACACACGAAGCACATCTTACACCCCACGCTTTATGGTGCAACATGGCAGGTGTTTACCCTCGCACAGGACAGCTTGGTGACTGCCAGGGGGACGTCCTTCAATGAAACAGAGCAGCCCGTATGGCAAGACTTGTTTCAGGACATGCATGCAAAGGTGACACAAGATCTTACGTGTTGTACATGCCGAGTAGGGTGTCAAGGTTGTGGATGGCGGACAACCTGCTGAGAGACCAGTAGGTTGCCAGTATCATGTTCAACACTTAGGAAACTGCAAAGTAATGGTACCTCGAGCCATTCTCTTGCAAAGCGCCCCAGAAACCCTTGCAGCAGGGGCCCACACGCCGTTGTCAGTGTAAAAGTAGGGCTTGGATACGTACTCTGCCAGCTGCTGGTCTTTCCAGGCCTTGGCGAAGGCCCCTCGAACCCCGAGCTGTCAGGACCGAGCTCGGCCCGATGCATATGAAGTGGTCATAAGCATTTGCTGGAAAAGAACATGCACATCACCGAAGAGCTCTTGCAAACCCACATCAGTCACGAAAAGTTGTAGCGTCATATTATGAGGAATGAACTCTGAGACGGTTTGCCGTGGAAGCCTTCAAGTCGACATGCTGTGAATGCACAAGCAGGCTTGGATCCTGTCAGTTTAGCATGTGGAACACTTGTTTCAAAGCTGATCAAAGCGCCGACAACCGCAACATGAATCGTCTCTGGGTTGCTCACGTTTAGATGATCGACCCACTCTTGGACGTCATCCCATCGTTCTGTGGCAGTAAGAAGGACACGTGCTTTCAACTTCAATGCTTCCCCCACTGCAGGACTAGCATGCAGCAGACGCGGGATTTGACCTTAAATGCCCACAGCTTTCTGTATGTCTCACAGCCCTGCATGATGCCCTCGTTGACTGCAGGGGCCTGAGTGTCCAGGAATGCAACCCAAATTCTCATCTCTCAGCCCGCCATGCACGAAAAGAGCGGTGTCAAGCACGAGACCTGGCAGGCAAGCAGATTAACCAAGGAAACTGCAGAAACACGTAGGGCAAAGCCTGCGATGCTTCTAACAAGACAGCGGGCTTTGTACCTATTTCGCTGCCACAATCCTAAAGAGCGCTCTTGGCTTTGAGGCTTCATGTAAGCGTGAGGCCAACAAACCCGGTCTGCATGGAGCCCACAAGCTCAGCAATGCATATGTTGTGCCAAGAGATGCATGGCATGAGCACTGTGAGAAAATCTGAGAGCAAGCATGGGACATGGTCCGAAATGGCATATCGCAAAGATCCTGCCGACTGCTGCCAGCACCGGTGTCTCGACACTGTCTTGACCGGGCCTATCTGCCCCAAAGAGATGAACTCGAACATCCAGGGGTCAGCACCTCGAAGCGAGGCCGGAAGCGATTTACCCGCTCAAGAGCTATCTGGCTTCCGGGATGTGCAGACATGGTAGACAGTTGTTCTCGCAGGATGCAGAAGTAGTAGCAGCAGGTGAAGTGTGGAACTCGGAATCATGAGCGCTTCTGGCGAGCGGCTGCGAGGATCCACGGAGCTGACATAACCTCAGCTCCAGACCAAGCCCGTGCAATGCACGTGGCAACTGAATGGGGACATGATCTCAAGAAAGACCGCGCTCCCCGTTAGCCATCCAGGGCAGCAATGCATCGACGTGCCCGTGCTGTACCCACTCGGTGGGAACATCACTGAAATTGAGCTTCATGTTCTGTTACATGTGGAAGCTCAGCAAGAATTGCATCCAACAACAACGCATCGCAAGAAAATTGCCAAACATCGCCTGGAGGAAGATGCATGACAAGTAGCTGTTAATGCTGCTACTCGCAGCTGCTGAATTCGGTTTAGTCTAAACTGCTAAGGTCGTGGCATCTTGAAACAGAGAGCACTGATTTTCACTGAATCCCTCGAGCGTAAGAACCGCGAAGCTGTACTGTACTATGCTTCCAGTGCATCGAAGGCAACTGAAGGCTGGTTGCGCACATCCAAACCTGCGTGGTGCAGGCCAGACTTTTTGTCAAACAGTGCCTCCTGCTCGCACCACACCGTAGGGCATTTGCGACCTGTTGGTTTGATCGTCGGGACTCGGCCTGAAATCGGCAAACGGCCTGTGAAGTTATGAACTCGGAAGTCTGGCGCGATTTCGGAACAGGCTGGGCTAAATTGCTGCTTTCCTCACCAGGGGAACAGAGATTACCAAAGGCTGAAATGCATCTCATTTACAGGGAAGTCTAACAATTCCACTTGCAGAACCTGAAATCAAATCACCACAAACAGAACTAAGGGAGGTGCTCTCCAAGACGTCCTGGTCGGAGGCACGTCCCCGAAGCAAGGCAAGCTCGCTCTTCCTCGTGCTGAAGGTGGTGTCCTCCGACTTGACTTATCACTACATTATGCGGCCCTGGCTTCCCAGTGTTCCGTGGCCTAGCTGGCTGCGAGTTTCACTGTTGTGGGCTGCGCCGGTTGGCACGCTATACTCGGACTCTTTGTGCACCACATGTCTGCTAAGGACTACTCAGATCACGGCCCAGCGAGAGCCTCACCGCATTTTCGCACATTTGCCTGCTCAACATCCTGTCGGACAGCTAAGCGTTTGGCTGGGCGGCTATACCGCCTGGAAAGGTGGAAAGTTCAGCTGCGGCGCACTGTAGCTTCTCAAGCTTCACTCTTAGTGGAAACTATCTTCAACACAACAATATTCAAACACACAGGCTTCGCCTGCACCACCCGACTCCACAGCACTTCCATCCACTCGCCGGGAATTCTTCGGGTGATCGAAGAATTGAAATTCCGTATGGCTGCCCGTTTCGGGCTGGACCTTCCGAAAGCAGAAGGATGTCTCGCTGGGTGTTCCCCAAGCTAAGACCCTTCAACCTCCTCAGATGGTCTGCTGCTGGCCATGTACTTTTTGAGGTTTCTCCTTTCTCTTCCAATCTGGATCCCGTGAGGGGTCCACGCACTGTCGTGCTGGCGGCTTGCCGGATCGGGCCAACGAGGCACCTCAGCAAGTTGCGAAACCTTCGCTGCCTTGCCCCGTCTTGCTGAAGATCCCTCCCGAATTGTTCTTGCCACGCAGTTGTCCGCCACTGGATTCATTGATTTACCCAAGGACACCATCGAACGAAACATATTACGTGCAAATGCTTGGCTGAGGTGCAAGCAAGTTCCGATGCAGGTCTGTCTGGTGGCGAACGATCTCTAACCTCGTCACCCGTTTCCGGCGCCTCGTGACGGTTACCAGTGGAAGAGAAGAGGGGAGCGTCGCGCCTGCTTGCACCTGTCACCGACTCTGCGAGGAGCCCCAGCTGGCTCTCGACCACTGACTGGGATTGATTCAGGGCATCTGCGGCGTCCCGGAAAGCGGCATCCAAGACGAGCAGCGCTGCCTGCACAGAATCTACGGTGCAGTATCAGACACAGCAGCCGTATCATGCCTCGAACAGATGAGACAGCATCTTTAGGAAGAGTGCGGCCAGCCTCTAAGGCCGTCTCCATGTCGCCCTTGAGGTTGGTCAGCTGGGGAGAGAGGATGGACGCATGTGGCTGCTCCAAACGATGGGCATCGGGAGAAACCTTCTCCTAGCGAGCAGAGATGTCTAGAAACTCTGTGGCCACAACCGCACCGACATCCACCCTGCACTCACACCCACGACACAAAGACGGTCCCTTATGTCCTCGTCAGCCTTGTGCTCCAGTTGTTTCTCCGCGGAGACCTTCAACCGTTCAGCAGCAAGTTGCGAGCTTTGGTTGGCTGAACAAGTCTCGGGATCTGATGCACGTGTAGGAGTCTGGGGTCAAGACCGGGTCTTTCGTTGCACCTTCGCTGAACGCTACCGTCGACGTCTTTGTCGCGCATCCGTGCTTGGCGGCAAGATTGTTGAGGACCAAAGACATCCGATCAACCCGTTCAAACATGGAGTTGAAATTCTGGTGCGAGAACCGCAGTAGCTCCTCCTTCACAGCTGCGGCTGTTTCAAGATGTTTGAAGATAATACCTCCTCTTCCCCAGATCTCGGTGCATCACGGTGAAACCACAGACTTCAGTGGGGGAGATTTCGAGAAAGTGAGGGGAAGGGGAGGGGAGAGGAGTGGAGCGGGCAGGCAAGCAGCACTGGATTGCTTGACCCTCGAGTTCAAGCGGGCAAGAACTAGGATTTCGGAATGGCAGCAGGGTCCACATTGCCTGCAAACTTCTTCACTTCCAGCTGTCCTGCTGCGTCATCGCGCGCAACAAGTTGTACTTGATGAAGCGCGGCGCAGTCTTGGAGTCATGTACCCAACCTGGTTTAGGGTCGCATCAAATCGTGGAGGTTGCGGCGACGGGTGGGATTGGCTCTCGATGCCTCTCAGGAGCCACAAATAACATTATGTTGCATGTTGCTGCTACAACCGCAAGGGATGCTTTAATAGGCTCAGCCGCGGCTTAGGGGGACGATGAATTCCTCCACTGCAATGGAACCGGATCCATCGGCGTCAATCATCTCAAAAAGCTGCTGCAGGTCAACCTGAGGCAAACGCAAAAGCTTTCAACAACGATCAAAGTGCAGGCGTAAAGGATGGCAGGATAATGCAAACAGTCTGTTGTGGCGATGGCTTCGTGTCGCAAACCTGCGCACCTTTCATCCTGTACGTTTGGGCAGCTGCTGGTCCCGTGCTTCTGTTCCACATTGGGAGCTGTTAAGTTGGTCCAGCTGCTCCACCGAAACCCCCGAAACCCCATGTCCCAGCAAGCTGACTGGCCTCGTCGATATCCATGACCTTCAGCCGGCTTTGAAACTCAGAGTCGTGGTGGGCACCGTCGAGTAGCTCGTCCAATGTCAATTCGCCATCCTCATCATCACGTAGGAGCCGATTTTTCGTCCAAAAGAGGCACGGATGCAAAACATGTTCTCTGACTTTGACTTTGACTGTTTCGATAGTCGCAGATAGCGTACAGGCTCCCCTAGCTCCATTTTACTGCTTGGCCAGCGCCTCCCCCAACATGAATTCCACGATCCCTGTCTCTGTCTCTGTCTTTCGCCAGGGTTGTGGTGCAGGGGATTGCCCCCCTACAACGCGCGCAGGTGCGCCCCCGACTGGTGCGGGAACATTCTCTGTCTCATATCTCTCTCTCTCCACCAGGACGGAGGAGAGCAGCAGCGTCCTGGCCACCCCCGTCGCGCGCGAACGCGCACCCCCGAGTCTTTGGCGGAAAGAATCCCCCGCGGCTGTATATTGCCCCCGGAGGCTCGGCTGTACAATCAGCCGCAGGTATGATCCCCCTCAAACGGAAAGCAAGACAGGTTTGTATGTTTAAGGGACCACCCCTGATCGCACACCTACTGCAACAAAGCACAACACACACAGTAGCTAAGGCTCCGACAAACACCACGCCGCATTTATCACTTAGGTGTGTACCGGCTGGAAAGTATGCCTATTGGCTCCCCCACAACTGAAAGAACATGGTGTAACAAGCAAGACCTGACAGTGAAGCGAGGCCCCGAACGTCAGCTGAGGGTGAGCTCGACAGAAATGGGGCGTCAAGGAAAAAGCGTGCTTCCCCCGACTGCTTCGAGCGAGTGCCATGGACTGCCACTGAAAAGACAGGGATTAAGTACAGCATTGGAGCTTCCCCCGAATTCAACACTTTGTGCTGCGTGGTTGTTGAAGGCGAGTTGAAAGAATCTGGGGTTGAGGACGACGGCGTCCCACTAAAAGGATTGAACGGAAAGGGGCTATATGGCCCGAGCAAAAAGTCCACGCCTTCACACCTACTCAGTAAGATGTCTTCTCATCTACATTGGATACTCGGAGTTCTCCTATTTCCAAAACTGTACAGGAGACTTTGAATCCCCCCGATCTCAAAAGTGGATAACCTCGGGGGGTTCGAATCTCCCTCACTGCTGCCTCACTGTGTCTCTCCCCCGTTTATCGCGGCTCTGAGCCATGTGCGCTGGGACTTCCTGCACTGTGCGCCATTGTTAGGGATCCCCCCTTGTTGCTGTAGTCGTCGGGTGGTTGCTGTGGTGGTCCTTGATTGCGGCTCCGTGGTCCCCCTCGAGGTTCGTTGGGACGCTGAGCCAAAATACCCAAACCATGACCTCGATCTGAGGGCCGTCCTGCTTCCCCCCAAGGCCACTTGGCCATCTCCGTCTGCGGTGTGTTGTCATCGTCTGATGTTCCCCCCCCAGTCAGGTAGGCTTTCATCTTCACTTCGCTCTTTTATCGCATGCTGGCTTGGGCTGTGACTGCGCACATTTCTCTCATGCTCAACCCCTTTGGCACTTTGGTCGTGGGGATGCCAGCTGGGCTCTCTACTTCCTATGGTGTACGCTCCGTGGTTGTCCCAAATCTCGCGGATCCGCTTTGCTTGTTGCAGGAGCGTTTTGACTTGCTCTGGGAAGCGACCGACATAAATGCGGGTCTCTTCCGCCACTCTCGGCAGATATCTAAGTGGACCAGCCGGTCCGCTTTCCCCCCGGTGCGTTGGCGCTCTGCATGTCGGCGCTGTCAGAGTTGGTCTTTCTTTTGGTGCGCTCTTCCCCCGTCGTCACATCTTTGTATTGTCCGGTGAGGGCATCTTGCAGTATATTTCGGCCAATCCACTGGTCCAAGGGCTCAAGCTTGTACAGCAGAATCATCCCCCGTCTTGTCTCGAGCAGGGGCATCTTTAGAAGCTGCAGGCTTCCCCCCAAGCTGTGTAGCTGGAGATCGGCTTCTGTAGCGGTCCAGGGGTGCGTTACCCTTGTCCTTTGTCCCGTGTAATCTGCACTGCGTGTTTGACCTTTCGTGGGTTTTTCTGAAAACCAAATTGTGCAGATCCCCCCGCCGTACCTGCATGGTTTGCACTCCTTAACCATGGCTTCCACCATGGCCACACTTCACTATGTCGCCCTGGTTGATCCAAGTGTTCAGTGTGATTCACCCATCTACCGCAGCCTGGACAATGACGGCATGACAAGATTCGGGCTGAAGGAAAAACCATTTGCCAGTATTTTCATGAACCTTTTGTTTGCTTTCCCAGAGGTTCACCGGCATGCATGGGTTCAGACCCCGATCTTATCTTGACGACTTGGCATACACGGCCAGGGGCATAAAGTTTTGGTCACTACACGATACATCAGGATGTTTGAGGCGAGTCTAGGGTTCAGGACCAAGCCAGCCGGTCACACACGTGAAAGATCTGAACTCGAGGGGGTCTGAGTTGGGGTCAGGCCGTTATCAAGAACGGTAGTATTGGTAGCAGCAGTAGTAGTGGTAGCAGTGGAGACGCGAAAACCGGCCCCGCTCACGCAGTGTTCAAACCGTCGAGGTAGTGAGTGGTGGTATGTAGTAGTTATTAGTCGTGGTAGTGGCACGCGGTAATGACGGTATCGGTGTTGTGTGGTA